TATTGAAAGTGAAAATTTTCAAAAGTTTTATAAAAATTAGTTTATTATACGTGTAATGTAATTGTGAATATTTTTTATCAAAATATATTTTTGAAATATTTGAAAATTAATTAAATAATTTATTTTTGAAAAAGTTGTTCTTCTTTGTTTCCTTAACACACTGCTTTAAACTAGAATCTTCTAGGTTATTCAGAACGTGACTTATTTGCGGAAAACCAAATTGGTAAAAAGGTGGTAAAAATGTGGTAATTGTGGATTTTCCTGAAGTCAGAAATTTTGGGAACTCTCTGGAATGATTCCTGGGACCTGTCCCCTACCATTTCCCGTTAAAATCGCTTTGTTGCGAATTTTTTCCGACAAAGGCTTAAATTAGGACGTATTTGACTGTTATACTAGTTGTATGAAAAGCATTAATAGTTCATATCGCATTTGGTGGGTGATGGAAGTACATATCGAGCTGTATTCAATCACAATACGACACAATACGTGTATATATTTGTTAAGCATTTTTCTCCACGTTTCATGCAATTTGATCACTTTTGGCGAAAAATATATTTTGAATTTTCGAAATTTTTCCAAGTCTCGAAAAAAGATGTATGTAGTAAACATTTTCAAAGTTTTTCTAAAAACTACTTTTCTCCGTGTTTTAAGCTATTCCAATCATTTTGACCCAATAAACATTTTAAATTTTTGCTAATTAGCTAATTGATAACTATCCAATTGACTGATTATCTGACGTAAAAATTGTCTTCACAAATATTTTTCCTCCTGATAAGATGAACACCCTCGATTAATCTGCAACCTTTTACGATGTTCACAACTAAAAATATTCGACTAACAAGAAAGGTGGTAAAAAGTGGTAAAATTGGCAAAAAGTGGCCTTAAGTTCCGTTATACCCTGTACAAGCACAAATATTTTTTCGAAAATTTTCTTCTTTAGGACTCATCAAATGGAATCATATTCCATTCGATGTTCGAGAGGTTAAAAATATTACATATCTTAGATGCCTCATTGGAGACAGTTCCATAATGTTATGTTTGGTCATCGGAACTAATGAAACAAACAATTATGTCTACCAGATTGCGTCGATGCGTGATAAACTTGAAAATTTTAGCTGCATTCCATCTCATCTCATTCCATTATTTTGATAATTCATAAATATTAAATATCATATGATTTGATTTTTAATTGACTGAGTTGGTAATTTATTTGATTGGCAGATAACTTGATTAGTATTTAATTGTGGGGGTGTATTCTGATTTTGGATGGGCCCATGTACAGGAGTTGCATCTGCACTCGATATCTGTGTTTTGGTGACCCACAAGTCATTTGATTACATACATTTTAAGTATTTTGCACAGTAAACTAGCTTGCAAATCCACACTTTCTCTCAAGGTATATTTTGTTATTTATTCCATTGTGTAATTTGTATGTAATTGATCGATTTAAAAGATTTCAATAAAAAGAGGTATTTATATCCCGCTCATATGATTAACCAACATCACAACGAATGTGATTAACCATGTCAGAGCGGCTGACTGTGAGTGATGTGAGCAAATGTGTAAAAGTGAACAAAAGTATAACTCATTATAAGGCAAAGACAAAATTAAAACATCTTTTATTGTAAACCACACTGAACTAAGTAGAAGCAAAAACCATACAATACATGTAGGTATAATAAAGGTTAGTTCAATGACATAGTCATAATCAATAAAAAATAAACAGATCCAAGGTAGAGATTAAGACATAAAATGGAGTGCAGTAAAGTGAAGACAATGGTAGAGATTAAGACATAAAATGGAGTGCAGCAAAGTGAAGACAATGGAAATAAAAAACATCAAAACTGATTATAATAAATAGTTCTTTAACATTCGCTTGAAACAGTTGCATTGGTATCAGTAATACATCTCAACATCAACTTGGAAGAGAGTTCCATGCAACCGGTGCATGGCAATTGAAACAAAACCTTTAAAATCGGAATTGCAGAAACGATAAGTAGACAAACAAACTTATTTTATTAGATTTACGTACGAAGGCCTACTTTATCTCTGTGTAAATATTTGACTATTCGTATAATTCAATATAAGTATAATTCACATAATTCATAAATTAGCTCTATTCCAAGAGCTCTATTCTCAGAAAAAATGGAACTGTGACAAACGTGATCCCGTCAGCTTGCCGATCAGACCACATACAGACTTTTTTATTAGATTTTTGTTAGATAGCCTATTTAACCGTTATTTTACAGCTATTTTACCGTTATTTTACAGCTATTTTACCGTTATTTTACAGCTATTTTACCGCTATTTTACCGTTATTTTACAGCTATTTTACCGTTATTTTACCGCTATTTTACCACTATTTGAACACTATTTGACCACTTTAATATAAACAGCACACTATAAATTCAAACAAACTATCTCCATGTCACAGACAACATCAGAGCTGTGACCTATTGTAACACCTACACCAAGTGGGAGACAATGCACGGAGGAATGCAACCTACACTCGTCCTCTTTATACCGTTATTTTACCTCATCACACCACCTATATCACACCTCATCACACCACCCATATCACACCTCATCACACCACCAATATCACACCTCACCACACCACCAATATCACACCTCACCACACCACCAATATCACACCTCACCACACCACCTATATCACACCTCATCACACCACCAATATCACACCTCACCACACCACCAATATCACACCTCACCACACCACCAATATCACACCTCACCACACCACCAATATCACACCTCATCACACCACCAATATCACACCTCATTACCCCACCAATATCACACCTCATCAGAACACCAATATCACACCTCATTACACCACCAATATCACACCTCATCACACCACCCATATCACACCTCATCACACCACCAATATCACACCTCATCACACCACCAATATAACACCTCATCAGAACACCAATATCACACCTCATTACACCACCAATATCACACCTCATCACACCACCCATATCACACCTCATCACACCACCAATATCACACCTCATCACACCACCAATATAACACCTCATCAGAACACCAATATCACACCTCATTACCCCACCAATATCACACCTCATTACCCCACCATTATCACACCTCATCACACCACCAATATCACACCTCATCAATCACACATGTTTCACGCTATATGTAGAGCCAAAAAGAGGGTGTCCAAAAAAGCCCCCAATTTTTGGGGACTGTAAATAACTCGCCTTAAATTTGACTTGACAACTTTGAACCTTCCCAAATCATGTGGTACTATCAGTGGCGTAACGGTGCCTGTTGGCGCCCCCCCCCCCCCCCCCCCCCCCCCCCCACCCCCTTTTGGTGCCCCTCCCTAAAATTGAACAAATTAGGTGATTTTAGAGGATACGCCGGTAACATCTCTAAAAAAGTGTGTATCTAGATCAAAACGTGCACTTTTTGATAGTACTTTAGTTAAGTTTTTCGAAATTGTCCCACATTCAAACGACGATTTGGCGCCCCCTAAGAATTTTTACATATGATGACCCTTTTTCTTGTAATGATTCTTTACCTCTATTTTCTAATACAACCTGGCATTATATTGATGTAGTAAAGATTTGAAATTCATAATCATCATAAACCTGTAAATAAGTGGAAAGAAAGCTCGTGTCCCTGCTAAAAGATACATCATCCAGTATAAGCATTTATGTGGGAAGTGTTACTTCCAACGAACTGATAATGTTATCTATTTCACCAACTCGATTCTTGGCCATAATGCCTTCAAGATGAAATAAGCCTCTACGATATGATCAATAAATTGTGGTCATTTACTGGCAATGGAGAAGAAAACACCATACTTGAAGGCTGAAGCCTAACATCAGAGTTCCACATCACAACTCCATAAGTTCTAGAATTTCTAACTTCTTCTAGTCTATTCCTGATTAGCCCCTAATAAGGAAGCCTTACTCCGTGCTGGAAAGATGTTCGAGAAGTATCTGGATTTGAGAGCAGAGCTCTACTATTTCTTTACAAAACATTGGTTAATAACTGACGACGGGAAAATGTTCAAAAACAAGGAGAGCACTAACATTTGCTACAAAGTTGATCAGCCTCTGAACTGAAATAAGAAACTGACAAATTCCCATCAAATGTGGTAAAATAATTAAAATCCAATCAACACAATTTCTACAAATTGTCAAAGTGTTTTTTCCAGGTAGAAGTTCAAATTCAAACTACAACAATCAATCCCAAGAAGCACACTCCATCACGAGTAACAACTACAACAATTAAAGAACACGAATGATAACTATGACGGTGGAATTATCGCGCGAAACAAAGAAACAGCATCTGATCTACCACAATAATAACAAGAGCTACAACTATCTGACTGAGAGTGATATTATCACGTACGGATACCAGCTGCTCAACACCACGTACCGTGCATACCTGCTAATGGGGTTCGGGGACAATTTCAACTGTTCTCATTTTCAATTGTTACCAGGTATTATAGGTTTCAAATACATCTGTAAACAAGGTATTTGTGAACACGGTTTCAAAACAAGTTAATTTGACGGCCAGGCGAGGCCGGAACTGCTGGTTGAGTGTTAACAATAGTTTGCACTGTACAGTCCTCACACAACACGTACATGTAATGTGCATGTTGTGCAGATTTAGCGTGAATATGTATACATTAGTTGAACCAGCCCTGAACCAGCCCTGAAGTACCTGCCAGACGTTGCAGAAATAGGTTTACTTTATTCTATAAATACGGAGATTTTGTAAAGGTTTGAGGTGTCCAATGTCCATGATGATCATGCATCTCTATGATATGAAATACGCCTAAACTGCATAAAATATGGGGAATTGAAACTAATCCAATTTTCAAGATTCTACCGAACTTTCGACCAGCAGTTTTCTACTGATGGGAACAGACATCCGGGTAGTAACCAGGTAGCTGGCAGTAAATAGAAGTGTAGCAAATGAAAGTGGACACTCACCAATTCGCTGTGGTAGGACGAATCTCATGTACTGTTCTGAGTATGTCATCCCACGATATGTTGATTCTCGGAAACGTTGATTGCACTCGTATATATTTCTAAATAATATATACGCGAGTTCCCAGAAATTGTACAAAGCAAACGCAAATCTTGTTTCTTCTATATATCCAACCAACCGGGCGACAATCACTTTTGCTTCAAATTTATCCAACGCGAATTTCCTCTTCAATGTAACTTTGTCATTTTTTTCAATAACGCGCGTCACGATTGACGTCAACTCACATACGCTACTTTAACATTTTACTTACCTTTCTGTGATTTATTTTATTTGCTTTGTTTTGTTCAGGGAGCAAACTTGTCAAATAGGCAATCGCGCTACAAAAATCGCTAAACGCCATTTAGAGAACGTGTTAAAGTTTACATGGGGACCCCATATAGAGATTCGGCGGAATGACGGGCTGAGCGCCGCCAAGTAAATTGAAGTAAGTCACGTTAGTAAAGATTAATCATTATTTGCAAATTTTTTATTACTGGGCGGTGCTCAGCCTGTCATTCCGCCAAATTTATATGTTTGTTAACGTTTAGCCTGTACTGGGGTCCCTATGTAATTTTTTTAATGATATGGCATCAAAGTATCAAACATAAGGTGCGTACAAAACGTTTAGTTTACCTTGACCATTGTTAATGATCTGGCCCGGCGCGCACTACTTCGTAGCACTTGCAATCGGGTCAACATTTCGAGAAGAAAGCGGCGCGCGCTACTTCGAAGAAATTTAGACGAGTAACATCCGTCAACTTTCTTATCAACAGTGCTACGAAGGCAAGTGCTACGATGGCAAGTGCTACGAAGTAGCGCGCGCCGGGCCAGACCATTAACAATGGTCAAGTAACATTTGTCAAAGTTAACCGAACTATGCTACTTTTGTCGGTTTATAACCTACCAGGACGCGCGCCGAGGACGGCTTTTACTAATTCGTTGTCATACGTTGTCATACGTTGTATGACCCGCCGCGCACGAAGTGCGCGGCTCCCCCTGTATCCCCCTGGTCGTTTCACCATAGTGAAACGACCGTGGGGGTCGCAACGTGATACAACTAATTCGCTCGCCCAAACCATGCCAACAGTGACAACTTTTGACTTTTGCGCGTCTCCTAAATGATACGTACCTCTGAAGGTAGTGCTCCCGCTTCCCGCTCCTACTAAATCGCTCGCCCAAATTTTAAGAAAATTCTTGTGAAAAGGCCCTTTAGGCATGAAAATGGTTAAGATCGGTGTATTTTTGGACGCTGATTCCGAATCACCCCCCATGACGTAGGGTTAAAATGCTTCCCTGGAGAGTTACGGGCAAAAAACCGTTTTGGTCACGTGACAGGCTAGTAAAACGTGAATTCGATTATTAATGATTAAGGGCTCGGGTTAGGGTTATGGTTGTGATTAAGATTATGGATAGCTTCGGGGTTATGGTTAGGGTTGGGATTAGGGTTTATGTAAAACCGTTTTGTACGGCTGCAAAACCAAAAAAACCGAAGTCACGTGAAATTTTTGGGCGAGCGATTTAGTAAGAGCCCAATTTCATCATTCATACCCAAAGGGCCTTTTCACAAGAATTTTCTTAAAACTTGGGCGAGCGATTTAGTAGCGACTTTTCCTATAAGTATAATATGGAGAACATGGAAAATAGGAGGAAATGGAAAAACTCTTGGGCAATTCTCCATTTATGCCATTGGACCCCCCCCCCCCCCCTTTCACGTATAATTGATAATGAGACAAGCTCGAAAAATGCACATTGGGATTGGCAGGCCATGTTACAACAAAAATACAAAGTTTCTGAATTTTTACCCGGAGAGAAAATTGTTTAACGGGTGATCAGTGATACTCGTAAAATATTTGTTCCGAATATTGAGACCGCCGAAGAATCCAACTAGCGTCTTGGTACATGGTAGGTTATAAACCTACAAAATCGTTGAATTTTGATGCTTTCTTGTTTGGCGCGTTGATTGGGAAAAGTGAAACACTATGTTAACAATTCAAACTATCCTCATTATGACAAAACACTGCAATACAAGATGAATCAATCTTAGTCTGCCGTTCCTGGCAGTGAAATCAACCAATCAGGACACAGAACGACGCCAACAATATATTTATCTGTGTGAACTGTTTTAAAAGCGATAACGCGTTTTATAAACTCTTCAAATCGAAAACCTCTTAACAACTCTCGTTTTAACATGAAGTACTGTGGTAACGACTAGTTACCAATTCTGGATCGGAGCACACGTACCTCAATTTTACAAAAGCAACCATCATTCACAAAGTTACCTCGAGTAACTGGCAGCAGGTTGGTATCTACATGATAACGGTAGTTACCCTGTGACTCGTATCTGAGTCAGTATCGGCTGTTTTATTTAACTCGACAATATTTGAGACCATTTAACCTCTCAGAGGACTCTGTAGCGATGTTTGATGTGGTAATAGGGTGGGTCGTCAGTGTAACAGTTGTGTTGTTACGGTAACGGGGGGGGGGGGGGGGGGGGGGGGGGGGGGGCTCTGTTATGATAAGGGGGTGCAACTAAAGGATAGGGTATTGTCATGGTAACAGGGTGGTAGTAACAAGACATTGTCATGGTAAAAAGGGGTTGTTGTGGTGTAGAAGGGAACATCACTACAGGTCGGCAAAGCTTTTCATTTAATCAATTCAACTGTCTCCAAAATAATAAACATTAGTTTCTACTCTTCAGGTGAGAAATTTCTAGAAATATTACTCCTTTTTCCCAACTCTCCGCTTGCAGCATGAAAAATGTTTGTCCAAAAATCCCTCGAAGTAAATAAAGAAACATCCTTAAAAGATATATTTGGTGTAAAACTAGCGTGTATTAGAAACGTAGGTCTTGTTGCATTGGAGCTGATGTGATAAGAAAAGATAAGCAAAGCGGTGTAAGCAGAGAGCCGGGTGGGAGTAATTCCTACTCACATTTCACTAGGCAGGTACATATTTACCCATTGAGCTATACAACCATATACAATATGCACAATACGCCGCACCCCCTCCAGAAACCACAAACATTCCAACAAACCAGCAGTCCAAGTTAACTAATTAATTAACTAATTATTACTAGAGGACTACTGGGAAGCAGAGTCCTGGGCCCGTCGGAGGATGCTTAATCGGCTGATAAAATATAGCATAAAGTTACATAGCCAGATAACAGGCAAACATATAACATAACCGTACAAAACATGATCATAATTTATGAAGGAGCACTCCGGCTATTCTTCTCATAATTTAAGAGTAAAATCTTCGTTTTATTACTACATTTAGTCAGCAGGGGTCATTAATAATAACAAAATTTGGCCTTGAAAATCGTCTGGTATTTCATTCTGATAAGTTAATAAATACTGTTCATTATTTCTCAGAAGCATTAGAAGCATTTCATAAAGATGTTCATCGTAACATTCTAGTTAGATAATGTTACTCACTGGAAATGACTAAGTTGGAACTTAGTAAATGTTTAAGCTGTTTTGGCACGGGACTTTTCAAAGGAACATGGCCTGCTGACTGAAATGTTATCTACTTTAACCCAACATTGATTATCATTCAACTGATCATATACAAAACTAACGCTATAGAGACACTATTGCCATGATAACAAACTGTCTTTGCCACGGTGACATGCAATTAGACGTTCACACGGCGAATTACAAAACTCCTTCATTTTGCAGTTAAACAATTCAAATAATTCTATAGACTGACTAGATAACAATTAAAATAGTCCGCGAGGGTTTCTGTGAGCGATAAGGTATAAGATTTAACGCCTTTACTGGACTCATATAAACAGTTGAACAAATAATCGACCAAATATTACCAATTAGTTTCCATGGAAACGATCTTCTCAATAAATAACTGTAAAAGCAGGCCGCTACAAAAATAATAATATGTACAGAGTTATGTTTAACAGTAGAACGTCACATTCCGTTAAAAGCTTTGAGCGGTACAAATGTCACGCGTTACGAGGCTTCCATCTCAAATATAAAGTCACGTGCTTTAATGCTCTCACGTGCACATCATATCTCACTTTTAAAAGATATGGCTTGGTTGCTACGGCAACATATCTCACTTCAAAAGACATGGTTTGGTTGCTATGGCAACATATCTCACTTTAAAAGATATGGTTTGGTTGTTATAGCAACATATCTCACTTTAAAAGATATGGTTTGGTTGTTTTAGCAACATATCACACTTTAATAGATATGGTTTGGTTGTTACAGTAACGATACACGAGTTGTTAGATACATCGTTATATAGTTACCATAGTACATGTACCGTTACTATGGTGATATAGAAAATTCTTTAAATATGTGTCGTTAACGTAGTGCTCTTTCATTAATCAACTCTGGTTAGATACCATTCCTTTGGTACTATTCCTTAGACAAACAAACAAATAAAAACAACTCACGCTTACAGTTCCCGCTATTTTTACTGAATAGTCTCGTCCTTACGCTTGTAAAATACAAAATCAAAACATGCACTATGTAAGTTGATGAAGCGTATTTCGTTGAATTGAGAAATAATTCAAATTGTTACTTATAAAATATACATAGTTTAAATAAGGTGTAAGTAGAATATATTATTACTATACGTGGTGAACGCACCAGGGCTAAGCGGTTACTAACCAATAATTAACTAACACAGGCCGGAACGTGCAATTTGACACAACAAGTTCATTACTTTTAGAGTTCCCGCCTATAACTACTACAATGTTATCTGCGTGAAAGTGCCTGACATGTCAAACGATCGCTTTGAGCTGCGCTGCAGCTACATGATAACAACATGTATAAAAAGGCAGAAACTCTAGTGTAAACACGCAAAACAACACAACACACTCTCCCTTCGCGCTGTAAAACTTCAAACATCAAGCTCTAAATTGTTAATAAACTGTTCATAAGAAAGCTTGTGTTCATATAGCGTTCATAAGGTGAAGGTAATTTAACCTTGTTTCAGTCACAGGAATCATTTGCAAAAAACATTTTATTAAACTTTAAATATGTTCCTTTTTTCATTAAAGGAACATCAAAATACATGTAGTTATGTTAGATGAAGAATATTCAATAGTTCGTTAAGTCTTGTAGAAAATATATAGAGTAAAACGAGCCAACAAAAACCGCAAAGTTTCAAGAATAAGATATTTTATCCTGGCAACGGAGTCATTTCCCAGATTTCCTGACGATGGAGGACATTTAGCAGTAATTAGGAGACAGTAGGTGGTTACTAGGAGACAGTTGTCGTAATTAGGAGACAGTAGGTGGTTACTAGGAGACAGTTGTCGTAACTAGGAGACAGTAGGTGGTTACTAGGAGACAGTTGTCGTAACTAGGAGACAGTAGGTGGTTACTAGGAGACAGTAGTGGTTACTAGGATACGTTTACTGCGCTGTGTCCTGTGTCCATGCTGCCCAGGATGTTGCCATTCCAGGAATGTTTGTCAGGCCAGCCGGTAGGTTAGTCACACCCTGCATTATAAAGGGTCGGACTAGACCTGCTGGAATGGGACATCTTCAGACTTGAAGTAAAGATTCCCTACATATTTCAAACGGACATAATTGTTCAATCAAGCCTGATTAAATCATAATTGAAAAATAATCATTTTAGATTTTAGTTGAAAATTTCTATTGCTTAAACTGGTCAGGAGTTTGCAGTTTTACGTTTGTCAGTCCAATGGTCGGGTGTTTAGGGTATGTTACCAGCTTGAGGGTTGGCTAGATTATCAGATAGCTCCTGTTGTCCAACTCCAAACTGGGCCGCATTAGCCTGGAAGTTTCTAGGAGAGAAGGAGGCTGGGGTGTTGAACTGGGAGTTGTAGAGGGCAGCAGCGTTAGAACCTGGTACAGTTACTGTGGTTACTAAGCAGTTACAATACGGTTACTGTGGTTACTAAGCAGTTACAATACAGTTACTGTGGTTACTAAGCAGTTACAATACAGTTGCTGTGGTTACAAAATATAAATAGTTACTATAGTTACTTTATCATTCAGAGCCGATAGTAATAAATTGCACTAACTAGCATAAAGCGGGAATGGAGCTGGAGCAGGAGTTGAAGGGTTTGGAACAGGACTGGAGTTCAGACCGTCCACAGCAATACCTTCATTTCCACTTCCGCCCATCTGAGATAGGGGGAGTGTTAACATCACCTACACTGGGGCGTGTTAACATCACCTACACTGCCGTGTTAACATCACCTACACTAGGGCGTGTTAACATGGCATATACTGTTAACATCACCTACAGTCTACACTGGCCTGGGGCGTGTATGTGCCTCAAATTGAAGCGAGGCAAGCACCAATGAACCCAACAAATAATGTCACAGAATATTGTACAGGATCTAATGAGCTGAACTTGACGGTTAGTTTTAAAGTAATAACCTGGTTGAAAGCTGGCAGGTAGTTCTGGGGTTGTTGCTGAGCCTGTTGAGTGTTGATCAGAGGAGGAGGAAGGAGGGGTTGGTTGCCTTGGTTACCGGCATGTTGTGCCTGTTGTCCACCACTGGACGCTGCATTTCCTCCTGAGAGAAGTTCGCGTTAAAAAACGAAGACTTTATTTCTGTATAGCAATTACGGTACGTGCAAGAATGAAATTTAACAACCCATAAAGGCGAAGGTAAAGTAATAATTGGCCCGTAGAAATTTAGCAACACAACTGAATAATCACTAATAATTCATACTGGGATTTTTTCAATAATCTGCTGAACTTACCAGCTGGAGTAAGTCTGTCAGCAGCGGACTGGTTGTTGTTGCCAGGGTTACCAGTGTTACCAACAGCATTGTTATCTCTGTTGTTGTAGTTACCAGTTGGGTTGTAAGAGTTGGGTGACTGCATGTAGGGTTGTGCCGCATAGCCCATGTGGTTAAATGGGTGCATCTGCGGAGAGTTCTGGAATAACATAAAGTTAGAAAGTTCAATAGCAGAGTTGACATTGTGTTTTAGTCGTATTTTAATATTTGCTTGTTCAAAATAAGTAATAAATTAGTTTGTCAAAGTTTCGATAATTCGAAGGTGTAAAATTTTACGGACGAACGTGTAGCTGGTATGACTGTAAAGTGTAAACTAACCTGGTTGTAGAAGTTAGGAGGGTTAGTGCTGTAACTCCTGATAGTTCCTCCGCCGGGAGGCTTCATTGTGTTAGAGTATCTGACATTGGTACTGAACTGAGGGCCTCGTCTGTAGTCCCGACCTCCAAACCTGTCCTGAGTGAACCTGAAATAATCTCATTAGCACGTGCCTAGTTTCACTTTCACTTTCATTATCACTACACTTGTTATCTAATTTCACTTTCACTATTAATCCTCTTAAGCAGTACTCACGATTTCTTGTGTCCACCACCGCTGCCGCCTGATACAGTGCTGTTGTTGTATTTCATCTTAGCGAGGAACTGGGGTACTTCCTGGCTGCTCTCTTTCAGCAGCTCAGCTAGTTCGGGGGCAATGTGCCAGTCACTCTCGCAGAAGAACGAGGTGGCACGTCCTGGGTTACCCATCCTTCCTGTAATACAGTAAACTTGTTGGAAACTTTAATAATTCATAATACGGGACTCTTATCGTGGAGTCTCCAATTAACACATTTAAATCTCAGGTTTGTTTCTGTTTTTGGTGTGCATGTATCTGTACCCAGATAACAGTAATATTTAATAGTACTATGTTTACAGTATGCACTGAAGGTGTATCCCAGGAAGTTTCTTTTAACTTTTAACAGGTGCAAGATAAGATAATTCCAACTGAATTCCTACCTGTACGACCGATCCTATGCACATAGTTCTCGATGGTATCAGGCATGTCAAAGTTGACCACGTGACTGATGTTGGGGATATCGAGACCTCGAGCTGCAACCTCGGTTGCCACCAAAACGTTCTTATCACCGTTCCTGAACTGGTTCAAGGCGTTTTCACGCATTCTCTGGGATTTGTTACCGTGAATACTGATAACACTGTGTCCTTCGTCCTTAAGAACTCCCTGAATCTTCTCGGTATCGTGCTTTGTACGTACGAACACGAGAATTCGGTCTTTGGTTTCTGAAGGGAGAAGACAGTCAGTAACGGTTAAAAAGCTTTAAATGGGATAAATATAAACAGCTGTTAGTAAGCCAGTGGAGTATCCGGCTTACAGATTCGCTGTACGGCCTACGGGGTTAAATTATTAGGACTCGGGTTGCAGATTTAATTGTTTCTCGTTACAACTGCCGGAAGATAGTGCGCGCTTTACGCGCGCAAAACTCACATTGTGATTGCTAAAAAGTGAGACTTTGTACGCGCGATTCCTAGAACTAGAAGACCTTTATTACTCGAACAATCGAGAATCAGGAGATTTTCTAAGAAACAGAGTCCATTTAAATCGTTTGAGGTCCGTAAAGATAAAGAATTTGTGTAGTAGTACTCAGACGTAAGTACATCATTTCTATCGAAAGATCCTCCGAGTCCCAACGTTCAAATGTAAGTTCATAAGATGGCCCCCAGTTCATTATTCATTGTGTTTCGGAACTATACGTGTGCTGAATGTTTAAAAAACTTTTTGTTCTTAAGAAAACCAACAACATTCCAAAATATCGTGTAATACACGCATGACCACATACTCTCGATACATTTTTAAATGGATGTAAAAATCACCTCAATCCACAGAGATAAGAACAGATCATAAAAATAATGAAGAATGTTCTCTCGAATGAGGTCATTATAATGAGCCGCCGTCACAACTCACACACATAAATCACGTAATAATTTAGCGACAATCAATGACTAGCACTGATTGGCATTTAAATTTTCGATGTCAAAATAATTCACCGCACTGACCCCACCCGTGTATGTTTAACCTAGCTGAAAGCTTGCGAAGATTAATACCTTCTGTAAGTACACGAAGCAATTCAGGAATCTTGTCATTTCGTCTCACATAGTTAAGTTTCTGTGTGATGATATCATTGGTAGATCCTATCCTTCCTACAGTCAAGAAGATGTAGTCGTCCATAAACTCCTTAGCTAGCAGCTGAAATACAAGGAGTTAAGTTGTATTTAGATGCAGTTAAACTATCGGACTACGATGAATATGGACTTAACACCCCATGGTGAAAATATTTTAGCAGCAGAAATACAAGTAGAATACTGGTTATGTATTCTGTGTACAGTATAAAATGAGTATAACGTACCTGAATAGGTTTGGGGAATGTAGCACTGAACATGAGAGTTTGTCGCTTGCCAGCGATACCCATTTTGTAATCAGTTACTATAGTTCTGATATCCTTCTCGAATCCCATGTCCAACATCCTGTCAGCTTCATCGAGTACTAGGAATTTCACCTGTAACAATGTTTATTAGTTTGTTTATAACTTCACCTGTAACAATGTTTATTAGTTTGTTTATAACATTGTTTATAACATTGTTTATAACATTGTTTATAACTACTCTATCTGTTACATTGTTAATTAGTTAGCACTACAAAATTGTCTGTAACAGAGTTAAGTTAGCATTCTAACTTGTCAAATAGTCACAGCTATAAAATAACACTATTATGTTATATTAAACTTTGTTTAATTTAACTAGTCAGCACATTATGTGGTACTATTCACAAGTTAATTTGTAGATAATTTGTAGTTCAGTTATAAGTAAGAGTGACACAAATAGATAAAGGACTAACCATAGATAAGTTAACTTCTCCTCTGTTCAACAGGTCGATGAGTCGCCCTGGTGTAGCTACAAGAATCTCAACTCCAAGAGAAAGCTGGTCTATGCACTTGTCTATGTTGGATCCTCCGTACACTACATACGGTCTCACACAGGACCTGTAATAAACACAACATAACATGACGTAACACCACGTGACAAGTAACACACACCACGTGACATTACACGTGACATGTAAACTTGCATGATATGATGTAATAGATCCCCCTACAATACTACATTACACGCGGCCACACACATTCAAGATAATATGCTGTACAATTTAACATGGTTATAATAACTCATGCTATACAATTTATGATTATAATGTACTGTAAATCACCGTCAAGACAAGTTCTCAATTATAAGATATCTTCTAAAGCCTCTAGTCGTGTAATAATTAGGGTAATATACGTGACAACATTCCTTAGGAGGGCCCTAGCATCACGTGACTCATTATGGTCCAATCACAAACTAAATCAGAAGATATTAAGGCACGTGAAATGACGTTACATCACGTTACGCATTAGATATTTAGGCTGGTTGCGGGGTACCACTACTTCACGGTAATTAAACCTCTAAACGTAGAAGATACGGCGAGTAGGACGGCTACTAGGGGGTCATCTAGTGTGCTACGTAACTACGGGTTACAGGGACCATATGCCGTAAATCTTAAAACAGAGAGGTCACAGTAAGAATGAAACCTGTAGCAAAGGTGTTGCGTCATCTCGAATATCTGACTAGCAAGTTCCCTGGTGGGAGCGAGGATGAGAACAAGAGGAGACACTCTGTGTGCCATGCTGGTTCCGTCCTTCAGTTCCTGGGGTGGTCCGTTCTCGAACAGGTTGGACAGGATGGGAATCAGGAACGCCGCTGTCTTGCCGGAACCTGTTAGAGTGGACCGGTGTCAGACATTATTTTAATTAATCTTATCTTGGTTATGTTTCGTTCTCCGTATACCAAGTATTCACATCCCGGTTTAAATGTAAATATTCGATACTAAATGGTAAAATATAGGTGCAAAAGAGATTACCTGTTTGGGCACAAGCCATGAGATCTCGGCCGTTCTTAACGATGCTAGTAGAGTACATCTGAACAGGGGTAGGTTGTAGAATTCCAGCTAACTTAATATTGTTCTCCAGGATCTCTCCTGAGTGGGTTTAATGTTATAAAGTAGGGAGGGCCAGGGGTTTTACCCATTATACTCTAAATTAAAACTGTCTTTCGGAATCAATTTGTACCACCATCTAAGACCATTGTACACTTTATAAACAAAAATATGATTAAATTGAATCTTAATTTAACTAACCTAGTCCAATATCCTTGAATGTGCTGATTGGTTCAGGTAGGTTAGTTCCAGAGGTTTCAACCGGGATGTTCTTCCAGTTATCAAAGTTAATCTCTACTTGTACGAATTGTTTCTTGAATAGTTTGCTGAAAGAAATTTATGAAACGACAGTAATGCTAGGGCTTATATATATTAGGCGTTTTATTATATTTACATAGCTATGATGATCGAAATTAAGAACTGTAAATTAAATATGACCAATTTTAAATAAATTAAGTCAATAAGAAGAACTGACTTCTCCATGGCGACGTCTCTGGGAGCCATGATACTCCAATCCTTCTGGTATCTCTCACTGCTGTTGAGAATGTGGGTAGATACTCTGTCAGGGTAAAAATCGTCTCGCTCAACTTGCTCGCCGAACCCGCCCCTCCAATCGTTACCTCCTTGGAAGTCACCTGACAGGTTTGTGTTATGAAAGTAAACTTGCTCCCCAAACCAACCCTTCTATCGACATTCGACAGAATATTTATCCTCCTTCCCCCGATTTTTTAACCACTTAATTTCACACCAGATACCTTCCCGTCAGATCTACATACTAAAACTAAAGATAACCCCATTATACATCAGAAAAACAATAACTGTAAAAAGGGACAATACCTCGACTATTACCACGTCTCATATTTCCTTGGTAGGGAGAGAATTCGCCGCCAGCTCCCCCCATATTTGGTGGTTGGAACTTGTTGCGTGGGTAGTAACCCCCTCGTCCCCCGCCATGTTGGGGCATGTTCTGGTACATACCTCCTCTTCCTCTACCTCCTCCACCTCCACCACCACCTCCGTTGTATCCACCTCTGGGTCTGAGAATAATTTATTACAATTTTGATATTATATAATGCTGAGACAAGATGTTTGTTCTTAATACTTATTTATAATCTCGGTATAAAACGGAAAAGAAACACCACACGAAATATATTGTCTTACATACCCGCTGTTATAATAATCATTTCCACCGCCGTAACTGTTGCCTCCGTAATTATCACCACCCTCATCGTCATTATTGTAACGGTTAGATCTGCGGTCGTCTGGACGATCTCTCCTGTAATCGTCCCGGTACATGCGAACTCCAGGATACCTGGGAACACTAGGGCCACGTCCTCGGCCACCACTGCGAGTAGACATGTTCATCTCTGAAAGGAAACATCAGTCATACAGAGCAAAACTGAGATAATTTGATCTAGGACAATAAATTCAACAATAAGTCACGAATCAGAAATCACTATTTGTGCAAAAAATAAAAACAGTAATACCAAGTTAAAATAAAAACCTGGTAATGACAAATTAACTTAAAACTCTAGTAATTAGAATTGAAAAAATTAACTTACCACTGAACTGGTTAACCATGTGGTTCATCCCACTGCTGTAGCCACCATGGTAGTGCTGGGGAGGCGTTGGGTACATCTTGTTTCCAGCCAGTGCTCGCGTGGCCTGCCTATTGCAAGAAATCGATCTAGCTATCTTGTGCATAGTTTGATATTTTCTGCAGTTCTCAATTGAGGACTTGTTGCCTATCAAGATAGGACTGAGTATGCACAAGGAAAGTCAAATTTTTGCTTTGAGCTCAAAAAATGTATATATTCGTCTTTCACATCTTCAAAATGTGAGTCCACAATAGCTCAGGCCTCAGAGATCTACCTGGGCCTTTCGGGGGATGCCTTAAAAGTTCTCAACCTGCGGATGACTCCTGTCCTAGTTTCCCTGGCAAGCAGTTTTGAGAGTGCGCTTAAGTTTGATCAATGATCAGCAACAGAATTGATCACAATAGCACTAAAACCCAAGCTTCTTGCCTACTCCTATAGTATTAGCCTTGCCGAAAGTCGTACATAAAGATACTCCTAGGGCTGCTACACACTGCCAACAATAGAGCATGGACCTCAAGTGGTATTGACACAAGGTTGTCAATTGAAAAAATCCCCTTATATTAATCGATATCTGCTCATGGACTACAGTCTGCATTTGAGCACACTTTCTTTGACGTCAAGGTGTCTGGTCCATATAATTTGCCCCATCAAATGTGTCTGTCAGTCTTACTGCTCTGATGCAAGAAACGAGAAGTTGGAAAGAGACCTTTATCAAGATTGGTACTGGAAAACTGATGATAACAGTAAAGTAAAGTGGGTAACAGCCAAATATATCGGACAAGAGGCAAGTGATATGCTCATGTAATGGGCTTTATAATAACAAGACTTTGCATCTCTCTACTTCAGAGTGTCCTCATGGCCATTCAAGACGTCAGTGGAATAGCTGTTCAAGTCTTTCAATCTTATTCCATCATGCAAATCTTATGACTGTTGACATTATTTCTAGTACTGACTCCTGCACCTCTGTAGCACAATCTACTGCAATTCCAGTCGCAAGCCTGGGACCACTACTAGCATAGTCACAACATCTACAAAGCTGCCATATAGCCTGACTGACAATTTTCTCGACTGACTGACAATGTTTCTTCTTTTTCCCCATTTAGAATACAAAGATTAGTACATTTTAGCTTATGATTAATATTATATTTTTACCTATAGTTTACCTAGATTATTGATGAGCTCAAAGCTCAAGTTTAATAGGGTGAAAATATTGAAGATTTCTATTTTTAATGGCACACAGCATGCAATCCAGTGGCACAACGAAGGGCCCTGCCGACCCTGCTGTGGGGGGAGGGTGCCAGATCGAAGGGGGGGGGGGGGGGGCCAAATTGTCTGCAGATTAACTGCAGTACTAGCAAAACTGCACGATTTGCTCTAGAAACACACTGTTTTAGAGATTTTAAGGGCGTACCCTCTGAAATCATCTAATTTGTCCAATTTTAGGGAGGGGCACCCAAAAGGGAAAGGGGTGCCAACAGGGGGGCGCTTTTTCTTTTTTTTTTGTGATCCCCTTTAACCTGTCAATTGATATATATAAATCATATATAAATTGGCAACCACACTACAGGTGAGGCTACATTTAATTATTAAATTGATTTGATTTCACTCTTTTATACCTCAATTTTTTATATATCCTGTCATCACTGCTAGAGTAATGATTAATCTGTGTTTATTAGCGTATCTTGCGATACATCACAATGCGATGATATTATGTAGACATGTGTGATGAAATGATGTCATAAATTTTACTTTATCTAATGTATCGAAGCCTTTTAAAAGCACGTCTTCACGTGCATTCTAGACGTTAGTGATGATTAGTGATGATGTTATGTCATAATTTTTACTTTACTTAACTTTACTTTCACGAATTATTTTAGTTAGTTAAGTTAATTCAGTATACTACAAACTGTTGCTGCTAGATCAAAGACTCATAGATTCACCACAAATGAGACTGATTTCTTTGCCCAAAGGGTCTTGCGCTATTGGAAGAGTCTACCACCACTTGTGAAAGCTAGTGAGTCGGTTACTGGTTTCAAGAGGGGATTAGATGCCTTATTTTATAGGGATTGCCTTTATATGTAAGATAATCCAATAGTAGCTAAGAGGAAGAAGGTCAATTAAAAATGCCTTACTTAGGCACTTATCAGCCAAGTTTTCATTTGACTTCTTTTAAATTTTAAATTTTAATAGTTTATTAAACGTAAATTGTACAGTTTTGAAGTAATTATATTTGTATATGAGATGCTCAGAGAGGCATAAATTTAAATCTTATCTTATCTTATCTTACAAAAGTTTTCAATCAAAAAGGAGTAGTGTGGTTCAATCACAGTGGTCCACCAGGCTATAATTGAACCAAAATCGAGTATCATGAAATTCTGTTTATTTATTTGTTATTTATCATAAATTATCAGCCGGTACATATGCTGAAGACGATAATTAAAAATCTTTCAAAATGTGGAAATGATGTACGATAATATCAACGATTTTTTTACACAGTCCGAAATTCAAGCAATTGGCAGTAAAAATTGGCCTACATCTGACTGGATATTCATAAAGCAGTCTATATTTGCATTCACTTACTCTTGTTGTTGCTGTTGTACGTGTTGAATACCTGTCTAATGAAAAAAAATTCATGTTGATATCTATTTTGGTTGATTTTTCATTTACCCTCAAATTTTAGACCCACTTTTTAACTAAAATTTTGGTTTTAAAATAAAAAAATGTTAGGTAGTGCGCTCGAGTGCACCTAAACCACCTATGGCATCCTAAAGTTCAGATAATTATCTAACTAGCCATAAAAAATTCAACCTGGGACAAGCTGGGACTTTTTTTAAAATCAGCCACGCCCATATTTGGTCCCAATTATCCCAATTATGCAAAATCACCTTAACAAGCTCAAAACCATGCTTTGGGGTGCTTTACTTGTAGCTTCTAGTCTCCTGAACACAAATATAAAGTTTTATCATAATTTGATAAAAATTGGCTGAGTTATGAGCAAAATACTATATGACCATATTTGGGCATACGCGCCAATTTTGATAGATTTTTATAGATTTTAGCTCATAATTTGGCCAATTATCAATATTTTTGGATGAGACAAATGTTATATGTTAGGTAAGCCTATACTGCACATTCTCTATGAATATCAGCTCAATATCTACCTAACTGTGGATTCTGTGTTCAAATAATGGCAAAAAATGAACAAAATTGCCCATATCTCAGTTCGCGACATTCGCGAAACTGATGTCGCTCAAAATAATATAACTCAATAGGGTTTCAATATTTTTTAATGAAATTTTCAGAATCAACGTAGAATTGCCTGAGGACTTTAAGTTGTGGAGTAGAATTTTGAGTCAGGCCTTTTAAACAAATTTAGCGGCCAAATTCTAAAATTTTCAGGGTATTTTTGGAAAAAATCAATTTTTTGATTTCTCATTTTCAGCCCTTCTGGTATATTTTAAGGACTTCTAAGTGCTTTTAAACGTCTTTTTGGGCGAAAATAGTCCAGGAAACATATCCTGAGACAACAAAATGACCTAGAAGGAGTCTATTATAGCCTGACCCCCCTTCGCGGACCACTGTGTCAATGTAGAATTATTTTGAGATTTTTTAAACATGAGCCTACAGTTCAGAAGACATGCACGATAAATTCAGCGAGGGTAATTGTTGAACACCCTAAAGGATACGATTCGAACTGTAATTTAAAATGGCAAGAATTTGAGCAAAAGCCCATTAACAGTTCTTTAATCATGATAAGATTGTGACCAAGTCTGCTTATTTTACAGCAATATGAATGAATATTTTTTAAATAAGAAAGCATTCAAACAATATACACACAAGATCACAATGACCCTACATAAAATGAAACCTCTAAGATTGCAGTATATTCCCAAACTAAAATATTGGCAGAAACATTTCACCATTCACCCTCGGCCTTGTAGCTCCAAGTTTAAATCGAGGGTTGAAATACACATGCCTCTTGAAGCCATTTTCAAAAACTATAAACATAGTTCTCAAGAGGTCATCAAGTAAAGTAAAGTAAAATCCGATGATTTTTGTAGAGCAAATCGCACTACTGGATCGCGCTGCGCATTTAATAATGTTGAATGCAATCAATAAGTGAAACAATGCATCACTGGGCCAATACTTAACTTACTGGGCCGCGCTCAGCCTGTCATTCCGCCGAATCTCTATTCGGTTGTTGTTTATGAACATAAAAGCCTGAGGTCCCCAGGTAATACTTAACGGGTGATACTCTTAAAATATTTGTTTCAAATATTCAAGACTGTCGACGAGTCCAACTCGGCGCGCGTCTTTGTAGGTTATAAACCTACAAGGCCAATACGAGCTTTGAAAGATTGACACCGTCAATCAAAATAATTTGTAATTGTTTCTAAACATGTAAAAAATACTGTTTGTGTCTCCGATCATGGGTAATATACATTAATAATGTGTTACCTAGCTTGCTAGTCCATAGTTAGTTACTTGCATTCTCTGTGCCACAGGGATGCCATAATTGATATTGTATCACGTCGTGACCCCCATCGTCGTTTCACTATACACTATAGAGTTTCACTGTAGAGTTTCTACGATACAGGGGGAGCCGCACACTCGTGCGCAGCGGGTCATACAACGTATGACAAAGTTAATAGTGCAAAGAAACATAGCTATAACTGTTGCTAACTGCTGCTGACTGCTGGTGACTAGACTGTTTATGTTGATTAGATTGACGATGTCAACCCATCAAGATCGTTGCAAATAGTTTAAAAAGTGTTCAAAATTTGGAATATTTTGTAAAATGCGCTTATTTATTTCATTTTTGGTACTTTAATGTTTTGTCATCAAAAGATTATTTCAAAAATATTATAAAATACGACTAATTTAAATAAAAACGATTCAGTTATGGCTGAGAAATGATTTCAAAATAAAACTATAAAACCAAAATTTTAGTCGCGCCGCGCATATTTTCGTCGATTTATTAAAATCGAGCGCTAAAGCAAATAATGTCACATTTTTACACTAAATAATTACCTTGAAACTGTTTTCAAAAACATCTTTGGCCTCTATTTGAATATTGTTTCGGTGTTTAATTTGATTATTAGCTGTTTTCATGTATTCACATTGATATGATATGGAGTACTCA